GGTCAGCCAGAATCAGATACAAAACCCTGCTGATCAAACAAACAGAATATCTCATCCTTTGCCTCAAGGGGTAAATAGGTGTGTGCAGCGTCCCAAGGTTTTTAATTGGGTTATGTAATATATGTTTCTGTATATCTATCAAGACGTTGTTATCGGTCCATTATCGAACTATTGGTTTCTCTTATATGAATTTTGATCACTTTAAAATGTAACTAGCTATTTGCGAGTTCAGAGTTTTAAAATATCACATATACAGATATATTTTTAGCTTCGTGTTATATTATCTACCTGATTTGAGGATACTTTCTTAATAGTTAGGTAAATTTCAAAGATTATACTTTAGTCCAATTGTTTAATTAAGAATAATGGAACTGCTTCTGGGCTGGTTTTGCACTCTGATTTTTCTTTGAGGATTATTAGTCTTCTCTTTCCATTAGGTCCCCCGTCTTCCTTCAGCTAACATATGGGAGATAGGCTTTGTAATTGATGGTATACATATATTGGTTTTGTTGATCTTTCATTATCTAGTTGATCATGGTTTATAGAGACTTATGTCTTTACTCTTAAGGAAGCATACCACAATTTTTCTTTTGTTTCAGTAAAACTACTAAATTTGTAGCACTATTTTGTTGTTTATCTGGTGCTCTGCTCAATTGCCTAATCGCCAGTGGTTTTCAGCAGGACTCCTGCAACCGTTAAGAGTCATGTTTTCTCTTGTTGTTTCAGGTTAACAATTATGGTAGCAAACATTGAATAGTTAACAGTATAATGATTCTGATGTTAGCAATTTTGATCACTGCTAAAAGAAGCCCAATATTGTTTTGTTTTCTTCTTTCTGTCCTGTACTTTGACAATTTTTGCGTGTTGCTTGCTTGTGTGAACTAGTTAGCATTCTTTTAAACATAGATGTATTTTCAGTTTTATAGTTTCATGACTGTGGCCCTCATGAGCTTTTGGTCTTCCTTAATTAGTATATGACTTATTTTAGCTATCCCTTTATGCTATGGTCTCAGTTTTTAACCTGCCTAACAACTTGTTGAACTATTGTGCTTGCATGGCATGTCTGCAATTATCAATGCTTCGTCGTTGATAATCATTCTTGGCTGTGGACTTTGTCTATTCACATATCTGGAGCAGATGAAAGTTTCATTTTGCTGACGTTTTCCTTTCCTAGTGCATATAGGGATATGGCCAGACTGATGATGTTCTGGCCTTTGAGTTTTAGTGATTACAAGTTCTTACCTTATTGGTCCCGTCCAGATATTAGTAAGAAACCTTGTAATTTATGTAGCTAGATCTTCTGGAATACATACAATTGATCCGGAATAATTATCTGAAGAAGGATGGAGTTCTTCAAACATTGATCCGGTTTTGAGCTTTTAAAGATGCTCATCTTTACTGCTCAGTATTATAGTTTGATGTAATTGCTGTACGTTTGATCTGATGGATTCATCAACTGTAAAATATCTATGCCTTTTGCTATATACTTACCCTTCATTAGTCATCCCTAATATATTTTACAATCTTGGTTTTCCAGGTATTTCGTAGTTAAAAGTTGCAATCGAGAAAATTTTGAATTATCTGTGCAACAAGGAGTATGGGCTACACAAAGGAGCAATGAAGCTAAACTTAATGAAGCTTTTGACTCTGTGGAAAATGTGATCTTGATATTTTCTGTCAACCGGACCCGGCATTTCCAGGTAGTTTATTGGGCTAAACATTAGCTACTGTATGCCTATTATGTTGACAGATCAAATTCCCTATTCATCTGTATGGATGGCTGCCTTTCTGTAATTATCTTCCCCATATGGTTGTATCTTGTAGGCAGTGTTATGAGTCTAAATAATTTGTTCTCACATGGTGCTATAGGGCTGCGCTAAGATGACATCCAGAATTGGGGGTTACATTGGTGGAGGAAACTGGAAACATGAACATGGAACTGCACAGTATGGCCGGAACTTTTCAGTTAAATGGTTAAAGGTATACTGTGTGACTAACCTTTCCCTTTAATCAATAGTCCTTGCTCTGAGTCCTGGGTTTACTTTAGTTCTTCTCTTTGCTATTGAGCCTATATGATCTTGCACTTCTGGTACTATAATTTCTTACCATCAGGTCTCAGTCTTGCTTGGAAGGTCACTGTGCCTTTTTACACCATCAATCTTAACACACACCTACCGACTTTTTTTACGTCTCTTTTCTTTCTGTTCTGGTTTTAGCTCTGCTGAGGTTAACGGGACTTATATGAGTGATCTCAATTCTTATCATTGTAGTTGTGTGAACTATCCTTCCACAAAACTCGGAATTTGAGGAACCCTTACAATGAAAACTTACCTGTGAAGGTACGTGGAGCTTCTCACCATTTTCTTTTATGTTGCTCTAGTTGGGAGTGGTATCTTCTGTTAGATACAATACAACTCATGATAAATTAAAAATGTTTGTATTAATACACTGGCTAAATTGTCCCATGTTGACCTCACTTGCGCGATTACACAAATAGTTTACTAGTTCTTACAAGTTACTACTGATACAATGATTAACTAATGGTCGTTGTTTATAAGTTTTGAGTATTTGCATGTAACCTAGTCACCTTCATCTTACTCTTTTGGTTCACTGATTGTAGATCAGCAGAGATTGTCAGGAATTAGAGCTCTCCGTTGGTGAGGAGCTGGCTTCGTTGCTTTATCTTGAACCAGATAGCGAGCTTATGGTATATTCTCTTTTTGTTGCTTTCTTTTGTTTTTTTAATGGTTCTGAAGCTATAATTTATGAGACATTGAAGAACTGAGCTCAATGTGCTATTTTATTGATGACTTCGATGTCTTCTACGATTTTTTGTTCTGTTGCTTCATCATAGACTGTTAATTTTACATTTTTCCATGAATCCAAGGCAATCTCCATAGCTGCGGAAGCCAAACGAGAAGAAGAAAAAGCAAAAGGTGTCAATCCAGAGGGCAGAGCTGAGAACCCAGACATCGTCCCGTTT